ACCAATGCTATTTACGTTTCTATACAGACACACACATATATATATATATATATATATATATATTTTTTTTTTTTGTACTGGTACATCTATATGGTCTTGTATATATATTTCCACTTGACTTTTTGCTGTCCCATAATGCGTTGCGAGAAGCCTTGTTTATGCAGCTCAACAATCCTGCAACATTCAGTTCCACGTTCATGTTTTAAAACTTTATTTGTGCAATACATTTTCATTCGTTTTAAAAAATGTCACAATGGGTAAATATTCAATACATTCACACTGAAAAATAGAAAGAAAATCCTTGTGAAATGAGAATGATGCCATATAACCTTTTGGATGGAATACTGGATTGACTTGTTGAATTGTTGAGAAATTCTACCAGTCACCATAATGAAGACACAATATACAAATAAGTACTACAACCACTACTAACAGTAATACCTTTGTGACAGTGGTGATCTTGCTGGATAGTGACAATGACATAAGATTAGATATAATGGAAAAGTACAGTTATATGGACATTTTACAGTACATCACAACACTGAAAGTTGTATCTGGAAGACCAGATAAAATATTATATTGGAATAGGCTACATAAATGTTTATTCAAATTAAAACATAAATACGTGTAAACATTCAGCTGTAAGACATAACATGTTCATGTTGTGTGTCAAGACAGAGAAACCGCACACACAAGGCAGAATGAGAATTACCAAAACCTTCACTAAGCCAAACATAATGTCAAATACACAGTCAATATCACATCCTCATGGTTATGCCAAAGCCATCCAAAAGTATATAAAAGTCTACAGGTTAGTTTGTATGTCGATATAGCGAAGTAAATAGTATTGGTCATGATTTTGGCATGGGTTTATTTAAGAATGAAACAGTACAGCAACATGAAAATCAACACAGTGGTACTTGGGGAGGTGAAGAACGAGAATCTGGTGGAGTTTGCAGAAAACAATTTGATTTCCTTTTTTTTTTTTTATAATTTTTAAAAATAGGTCTGTATAGCAACGTAAATAGCATTGGTCATGATCTTGGTAAGCAATTATTAAAAAATGATACAGTAAAGTAACATGACAATCACCACAGTGGTACTTGGGGAGGTGAAGAACGAGAATCTGGTGGAGTTTGCAGAAAACAATTTGATTTCCTTTTTTTTTTTTTATAATTTTTAAAAATAGGTCTGTATAGCAACGTAAATAGCATTGGTCATGATCTTGGTAAGCAATTATTAAAAAATGATACAGTAAAGTAACATGACAATCACCACAGTGGTACTTGGGGAAGTGAAGAACAAGAATCTGGTGGAGTTTGCAGAAAACAATTTGATTTGACCTTTTTATTAATTTTTTTTAATATGTCTGTATGGCGAGGTGAATAGGATTACTCATGAGTTTTGCATGCAATTATTTAAAAAAATGAAACAGTAAAGCAACATTAAATTGACCACAGTGATACGATATAATAATCATTTGAATAGTTTTAAAATTCAACTCCAACATCAAGTGTCTCAGGCCAAAACATGCATGAAACATTTTACAAACCCATTGAAAATGTTTTATTGAAAGTTTAATACATTAAATACAATTAAACTATAAAATACCATAAAATAAGAAGTGCCTGTATAATGTGTTTTAATTAGCCTATTATTATCGATTAATTGACTCGTTTCAGTTTGATACGCGCTCTGACCCACTCCATGTCCATGGTGCACTGTAGCTTTACAGAATACAGAATACTGTCAGCACAGAAGACAAACCCATGGGCTGCTCATGCATGATGTAACCCGTTATAACAAACCATCCCTGACACTGTCCTACTAGACTAGCCTATCTGACAGCTTCTGTTGAGCCCACGAAGCATCTACGCATGTTTGTAGGCTACTGTTTTTACTGAAAACACGTTTTAACCAGCAAATTTCGGCTAGCACAAATCGTTAGAACACCGAAAGAAATATATGAAGCTTAAATCTCTTACCATGGTCGAGTAAACACCAGAACAATAGCTGCGAAATAAAGAGAAGTTTCATTTTCATTAGTCTTACTAAAAAATAAACGCAGATTTTGGTAGATAATAGTGCTATGTTCTTTCTCTTCAGTAAACCCGAAACTATTGTGTCTTCTTCTTATTATTGTTTTATAGCGGTTGGTATCCAGCGTACTGGTGCATTAAGAAACCATTGTGTCACGAATGAAAGTGAAAATATAACTTGGGAGGCTCCTTACGCGCTGCAGCGCGATGAACGTCACGTTCT